TCGCGTAAAGTACCGACCTCCTCACGCAAGGCATTGACCTCATTACGTAACTCCCCTAACTCATCCCGTGGAGGTGGAGAACAGGGAGATAAACGTCGTGGCATCTTTGCCGGTCGCCTATCATGAGGTGATGGTGGAGAAGAGGCTCAATGATGTGACAGAATAGGTGATGACTCTCGTTGTGGAGGTGTATATTCGGGTCGATTAGGTGATGGCTCTGGGTGAGGTGATGGCTCTCAAAGTGGTGGCTGCTCATCATCCGTGCCATCAAAAAAAAACTTACTAGCTTGCCACCAATCAGTGGCAAGCTCAGCTTCCATGGGTGTCAGCCTCTGTAATGGAGTGTTGGCCTCCTAACAATATAAAAGCTCAAACAAAGTTAAATGTATACTAGTAATAACTTGTTTATAAACATATGGTAGTATTTGTGTTAACTTACATTATTTATTGTAGTATACGGTAGTAAATCTTCCCATTGCTGCAAGGACCGTTTTCTCTTCCAGAAAATAGCCCTAGGAATATCATTAGAAGTTTTTAATGCATATGTTTGCATGGCGGGAAAGGCCTCAAATATCCAAATCTAAAAACAATATAATAACAAACATTAGTAATTGTTAAAGAATTAATTATAATTTTGGAAACATTATATAAAAATTATTACCTTAAAGGCCCAAATAAAGCCTGACAAAGTGTTTTTGGAACCATCGCCACGCAAACTTTTCCGATCATCAAAGGCAGACGACAACTTATTCCATGTAGCTCTCCATAGATACGAACCCCACGGAAATAGGTTACATGCATTTAGGTCCTCTACCAATTTAATTAGATCATTAGGAATAGGTTGTCGGGCCTCTCTGCCTAAAAAGCCGGCTTGCTAAAGTATTAGAAGGCATACTCAGACAATATCGACGTCATCCATCCAAGTAAAACCATCTTTCTTATTCAATAATCTCGTCAAGTCTTCCACGTGTAAATTCGACTTCTCCGTTGACAGCTCAGGAAAAACCCGGGAAAACCATGATAGGCGGGTAATATGTCTAGTGTACCGATCTACATCATCGTGTCTGAAGCGTAGACCGGTGATTAAGCAAAACTCCTCCCGCCAAAACACGTATACGCCGGTGGAAAATCAAACCATATCTCTTCATCACGACGTTGTATAGTCTCTGGTAGATCGCTAGTCATGGTTTGAAGAAACAGATGGGTCAACATAGCATCTCCACCCGGATGTTGTACTTTCAGCCATGGCCCGAAGCAAATATCCTCAAATATTTTTCTTTGTGCAGGTGAAAGCTTCGACGCAATTGTTTTGGCCAGGCTTACTTTATTTCTTAAGGTCAATTGAGCCGAATAAAAGTTCTGAAAAAACAATAAACATACCAATTTAGATATACCAAAAACTACACTGTGAAGATATAACAAGAACAATAAACATAAAGAGTAGTAGTTTATTCTTCAAACTTAAATTTGCAACACTGTGAATTTAGTATTTGTTTTTGTTTTTTGGTTGAAGTAATGCAATTCATTCAAGTTTCAATTTGCAGAAGAAGAATAGTTTCTGAAACTTTAAATCGCAACACGAAAATGAAAATCGCAACACGAAAATGACTATCGCAACGCGAATTTGACTATCGCAACGCAAGAATCGCAACGCGAAAGGAAAATCGCAACGAAAGAATCGCATTGTGATAGTCATTCTCGGTTTCAAATACTAAAATTCAAAGAAACTTGAATGGATTGCATTACTTCAACCAAAAGACAAAACAAAGACAAATACTAACTTCACAGGGTTAAAGACTAAACAGTTTAGCAGTATTGACAGCAATCAAATGAATATAATAAGCAATCTAAGTGAAATGGTTAATCTATTATTGAAAACACCAGTAAACTTATCATCAATTTCAATATGAAAAACCTAATAATAATGCAAAAATTTCAAAATAAAAATAATTAAAAAAAACTAACCCTCGGTGGTTGATTTGGTTGATTTTCCATCTGACCGTGAATGATTTCGCCGGAGATGGAGACTAATATCGTTGGAGATGGGGACTGATTTTGTCGGAGATGGGGACGGATGTCGCCTTAGAGAGTGAGAGATAGAGATGAGATTGAGTTGTGATTTAGGGTTTTAGGTTATGAGTTGTGATTACGGGATATACTGTGGACGGTTCAGTGTTCCGATATATTAATATATTCGTGTTTGGAATTTGAAAAAAAAAATACGCGTTGGATACGAATGGCGCTATGTAAATCGCATTGCGATAGTCAGATTCGCGTTGCGATAGTCAGATTCGCATTGCGATTTACGTATTCGCGTTGCGATTTACGTATTCGCGTTGCGATTTACGTATTCGCGTTGCGATTTACGTATTCGCGTTGCGATTTACGTATTCGCGTTGCGATTTACGTATTCGCGTTGCGAATTAGAAAAATCGCAACGCGAATTTGGAAAATCGCAATGCGATAGTCAGAATCGCGTTGCGAATCTGGAAACTGATTTGCGATACCGGAGATCGCATTATGAATTATCGATCGCATTGCGATTTAGTTGGTCATTTTGGCAAATCCAAAAAAAGTTGGTTAAAATCGTATATTATAAGACATTTTTGGTCACTGAGGTTATTTTCTCTTTTTTTATTGATCATTTGATTTTTTTTTCGTTTATTTTTTAAGATTGAATTTGACGTCACAACAACTGACCAATATGACATTTATTTGTTATCATGCTAATTTTTCTTGCTTTAGACCCTCATATTAGATTTGGAATTATGTTTATAGATAGTTTTCTCATAATGTTTGAAATTGATTTGTATTTGTTGGTGATCTTTCAATAATTTAATTTCATGTTGTGGTTCATTTCTTGTATGATATTTATATAATATTAAGTGGCTAGTTTCTTGTATCAATGATCATAGAAAAAATCTTAATTACATGTTTAATTATCACTATGTTGATAAACAATTACTTTAATTTTAAATATTTTTTCTTTTCAATAAAATTAACTGCTTATATTATAATATATATTATTCTTGTATTTTCTGATTAATAAGTTTATGTGAAAACATTAATTTATCTACAAAGATTTCAACGTTATGTCTATCTCATGTTCACCGATCATTATCACCACAAGAAAGATTGTTTATAAACACTTGATCTATATGAAAAATCATTTGGATATGAGAGAAAAAACAACCCTATCTATTAACCCCCACCCATTTCTTTCACTTTGTATCATACAACTCTAAGCTTGATGGGTTTATATTCAACCTATGTTTTAGTTTTAGTTTTTGGTTTGTTGTATCTTGGAACATCAACAAATTTGATATATTTTACCATATAAAGCGCCTAACCGAGTGGAGTTTTTGTTGCAGAAAAAATCAGTGAGTCTTGTCATCGGATGGGTATTACGTTTTCTTGCCCATTTGCTAAATGCAGTGATGTGGAGAATGGCTTAGAATTCATCACTGTGAAGTCCATTAGCTTTGGTGATGATGGAGTCAGAACACATGTTAGATACATCAGTTTCAAAGGTTCCAATTCGGAGCCAACGATATTGAAATCGTTAGGCTTTGGAAATATGATATTAGAGGGTCTGTTAGCTTTAAAGGGAGAGATTTCGAGGGAATTCTTTCGTTCAAGTCTCCTTCCTTAGATGAATCCGAGGATTGGAAAAGCAAAGCAATCGATATTCTGTCCCCAAAACCAGATAGTTTAATAGACTCTGAAACCATCACTGGTTTTAGATCCCGACCATCCGCAACACGAAGCGACAATAAGATTACAAATGGTTTATAAGAGCTTTCGAACGAGGAGAAAGCTAGCAGATTGTGTAGTTCTCGTTTGATAGCTTGTTTGATAGCTTACAACCAACCTGGAAAGCAGAATAGGCTGTTCTAAAAATGAAGCCTTTAGGGAAACTGGCTCCTTTAATATTCTCGGAAAATGAACTAACCTCGTTTGAGCAGTGTTTGGAAGAAGAAAAAGAAGAATGGTTAACAGAAATTAAGTGTAACGTCAACAAAAAAATAAAGAATGTAAGATCAATAACTAAAAGTTTAATGATTGTATTGTAAGATTTAAAAGTTGGGTAACCAAAATGCAAGTGTCTTAAATGTTCAGGGACTATTTATAGACTTTAACCTTTTTTATTTCCCTTCCGATTCTAAGGTTTTGTCTTAACTAATCCAACTGATTCTGGTCGTACACCTAGTTTGGTGGGTGAGTCTCCCTCAGGTATTTTCTGCATACATAAAAATTTAAACTCGATATTTATTTGAGCGATATCAAGTTATTTACCAATTGAATTAATCTTATTGGTAAACTCATTTCATATCTTTTAATGAAATATTTTTTAATTAAAATAAATTTTAAATAATTATTAAATAATTTTAAATTAATATAATATTTTTTATAAATTTAGATAAATACAAGATAATATATATTTAAACACTCTCAATCATTTGACAGTAAATATTTATATTTTTACATACGATATGTTCAGACATGAAATCTTAAGAAATAACAATAAATCTCTTAACTACTAAAGTCGATCTTTCATACAAAAAAAAATATAAAAATTTTAAAAACTAAAACAATTATAATATTAAATCATATTAGTATCTTCATTAATTATTTTATGATTAATATCAAAAATATGAAAATCATAAAATTAATAACGGTTTTATAAAAGAAAATATTCTAAAAAAAAGTTAAATAATAATAATAATAATAATAATAATAATAATATATTATTATCTAAATAAGATTCATCACACAGTTATTGTCAATTTTGACCCTAAAGCCAAACCACCAAAAATAACAATAACATGATTCATAGTTGCGTTCTGATTCCCATACACAATGTAAATAAATGGAACATCAAACCTAAAATCGTCATTTCAGAAAAAGGAGTCCCGGTTGATCTCGCTTTTTGTACAAGTGACCTACGAAAATAAATAAAAAAGCTTATTTTTTCTTCGATAATTTCTTCTTCTTCTTCGGCTGCTCTTCCTTCGCTCCGTCACTTCCTCCACCGCGTTCTGTTTCTTTTTTTTCAATTTGTTATCTTTTAAGAAGTCTCGTCGTTTATGTGTAGTTATTTCCTTTGTTCTTTTTCGTTTTCTATTTCCGATGGCTACTGCACCAGTAAAGTCACAGCCTTTGCACAACTTCAACTTCCCGTTTCTTAAATGGGGAACCCACGGAGGTGGAAGTTCTTCCAACACTAACGCCGACCACCTCCGTTCTCCCGAATCCGACTCCGACCACGACCGTCTACGTCCGACGCGTGTCGGGTCACGCTCTACCCGCGTTCACCGCTTATCCTTTCTTCCCCCGCCTAGAATCATCAACCGACACCCCCGCGAAGAACAACAACAACAACAGAAACAAGAAGAAGAGTCGTTAAATCCGCAAGGAAACGAGGCTGAAGAAGACGACGATGATGAGGAAACGGTGCCGAGACCGTGGAATTTGAGGCCTCGCAAGTTGGTGGCGGAGACGTCGGTGGCGGAAAAGATGAGTGAAACGGCGGCGCCGAAGTCGATGAGATTAAGAGGCTTGACCGAGAATGGAGTGGCTACAGAAAAGAAAGAGAAAAGGAAATTTTGGATAGCTTTATCAAAGGAAGAGATTGAAGAAGACATATTTGTGATAACAGGATCAAGACCTGCCAGAAGGCCCAAGAAAAGGCCTAAGAACATTCAGAAGCAGCTTGATGTAATAATCAATCTCTCTGGGTTTCCGTTTTTCATTATTTTTTCTGTTGTCTAATTTTTGGCTTCTTAGAATGTTTTTCCTGGGCTATGGTTGGTTGGTACCACGGCTGATGCTTACCGAATTGCTGATGCTCCTGTTAAGGTTTGTTGCTTCATCTAAAATTTCATTCAAATTGTTGCAGAAATAGATCTGCTCTCAGTCTAAGATTCTTAAAAGATTCCCATATCCAAAAGGTAGTCTCTAGTTTCTTTAACTTTGTGTTCTTTGAATTTCTATTGTCAGGGATTTAAATAGCGCTCGATAGTGGCTGTTATATAACAGTAAAGGTGCCATCTGAAACCGTTATTTCACAATTGTGATACCTGTAATTGCACCGGCTATTGCTGCAATCACGATAAACTCAATGCAATTTCCGTATCCACAACCACAATTTAAATCCCTGTGTATTGTTGTTTTAATTTTCCTAAGCCTGCAGCTAAAATAGTTTGGTGATAATGTTTGCAGGGGATAGTTATGGTAATAGTGAATATGGAAAATCTTGGAGCTTTGTAGGGTATGGCACATTGAGACCTCAATTTTTTTAAGGTGTAATGAAAATATGATGGTTGAGAAGGAAGACAATGAGAAGATATTTAAGTTTCTTTTATGTTTCTTATTTCGAGTCCTGCAAAGGGAAGAGTAGGTTAGAGTTTTAGTGGATTTTTAATTGATGGATGTCTTTCAAGACATCAAATATGAACATAAATATGGATGGAAAGAGATGGTTTCTTTCAAATGTTTTTCATTTCAGTATACAGAATCAGTATTTCCAATTCTTGGATATTTTGTTTTGATTTTCTGATTTGTTGATTGCTTGCAATGTTTGACAGGCTTCCCTACATTGGTGGGGGGCAGAGTTTGAAGCTCTGTAGTTAATTGCAATCCGTAAAAGGATACTTAAAAGTTAAAATTTGTTACTGAATGAATGCACTGCAGTCTCTCTATCTGGACGAGCTCTTCCTCTGAACATATGAGCTTTCACCTGGAGGAGCACCTCATAAGGTTATGATTTAGTTTATTGCATTCTTTTGTAAGATGATAATATTGGGGTATAGTGCCTGCAGGAGTTTAAAAATAATCTCAATGAGTTAAAGAGTATGTTGACTTTTGTAATTTAGGTGGCATCTAGTTGGTTTATGAGGGCACTTGTTTCAGATTAAGAATGCACGAAGCGACACATGCAGTTGGTTTAGGTGGATAGTATTCATCAGGCGCTTTTCTGAAAATGCAGTTTCTGAAACTTGTTTTTCTGATTAACTGCGTTGCTGATATATGAAATAGACGGTGCCGAATATGAGTCGAAATGAGCCCTACCAAGGTTTTAAACACATTTTGTATGATTTGGCATTGAATTGTTGTGTGAAACTAAAGCCCTATAATGGATAGGTGTCATATTTATTCTGTTTTTGTTTGCTGTCAAGAAGCCTGTGTTTTAACTGCATTTTTATTACTGCCAACTTGTATTTTGTTTGCATGATTAATTAACTACATGTTTACAACAATAATGCCGGTACTTTTAAAACATTGTATCAAATTTTATGATCTCAAAATCTTTCCAAGATTCCATCCCGTTGTTCTGTGACCTGTCATGGATTCCTTGGGTCACTCAGATGTTTCAGTTTCGTTACTTCAAATATGTCTTGGTTCAGTATGAAAAAAAAAAGTTTTAGTTCAAAGATTTGTCTTATTCATTAACTGTTGTTTTGTTTTCCATGCATAAATATATGAACAACAAAGGATTTCTTAGACCATAAATTTATTAAAAAATATTTTTTGAAGTTAAAAGTGTGGTCGATGTGATTTTGTTATCATTGGTAATGGGGTTAACGGCGGGTGATCGATTTGTTATAAATCAATAACTTTAATTGTTAATTCATTAGTTTTGAGGCAGGAAAAACATAAAATTGATTTATTATAAATCAATAACTTTAATGGTTGATTCATTAGTTTTGAAGTAGGAAAAACATAAAATTACTAAGTGTTCATTTATATAATTTACTCTAATTATTTTCAACAACTTCAAATATCAAATCTATTATTCTCGTACGAATCCGTATCAATGTGCTAACTTTTCTGAAAATAAAAATGAATAAAGTACACAAATGGTCCTTTAATTATATGGTACTAATTTGTTGAGTTTCTCAATTAATAAAAATTAAAAAAAATGGTTCCATAGCTATAAGACATTGCTTTGTTGAGTCATTGTGATTATTAAAAGTTATGTAATGATCACATAATTATTCATATGTTCTAAAATCGTCTTTTTTTGTTAAAAAATTGACAACAATCTTAATTAAACGGTAATTTTAATGTATATATTAAGATCCAGTGACCAACATGGAAAAACACTGTAATACTAAAGGGACTTTAACGTGAGCTACCTTTAATTTTCAAGTATAAATGGTAACCTTTTTTTTGTTTCATTCATTTTTCAACCTAACTCTAAAAAAAACTTTATTCTTTTCACAGTTCATTCTCCTTTTAATTGACCATTATCATAAAGATATAACAGGAAATTCACACAACTTTACCTTTCGTCACGGATAACAAGATGTGTCCAAAGAGGATCACAGTCAGAAACAAAAGTTAGAATGGAGATTTAGTCCTTTGAATAGGATCTCAAACAGAAATATGACGGGGATATAATCATATGCAGAAACAAGACGAAGATATAATCCCATGCAGTATCAGGACAGGATATAATCCCATGCAAAATGGGGATATAATCTCAGGTAGAATGATAGAAATGCATCATTATACAAATTAATAGTGATGCAACATTAATTAGAATCCAGATATATTATATATAAATATAGTCAGATTACGAACATGTGTACAAATAGTAACATATAGCATATTGACATAAAATATTAAATTAATCGAACAAGTCAAAATGACGCACTTATAATAGCTAATCAACATTGGTTAAGCCTTACGCTTCCCACGATCGGTCGCACTAGGTCATGTGGAATGGGAACCTAAAAATAATACCACTCTATGAATATGCATACCACAAATATAAATAGAAATTAACTATAAAGTCATTAAATAGCACTTACTCGTATCTAAGCATGCAAAATCAAAATGAGCAAAACGGGAGAGGTCGGGATCTACTGGAGAGCGATTCGAAAACACGAGAGTACCTTTAGAAAATAACACCAAAACATGGGTCCAAAGTCTCACATTTTACTTAACATAATTAGGATATTAGGCGATAAATGATGTAAATAAGGGCTTCCGAGTAATAATTTGGCAAAATAAAATGCGAAAACGGGTCAAAATCAAAGTCAACGATTGATGGTCAACGGTCTGATTATGTTAGCAGTTCGGTCATACTTGTTCGGGGTCAAACCGGTTCAGGGTCGTTCAACTGAATTGGTTCACTGTTTGAACCGCCAGGATGAAGCCCACTTGCACACGGCAACACATGGTGCATGTGAAGCCTTCTCCAACGGTCGAAAAAATATGAAAATTTTCATAAAATTATTTTAAGACAGGGAGAGACACTTAAAAATGTCAATTTTTCGAAACGGTTTTAACCGAAACCCAAATATTTGAACCTTCCACGATTACAAACGGAGAACGACAATCTAAGGACAACAAACGAACAAGGTCAATGAGATGAACACAATGATACAGGGGGTTTCGAACACCACCGTACAGTTAATGACGAATCAAAGAAAAAAAAAGAAAAGGTGGTTTGGAGAGAGAGAGAATATGAGAGAGTGTGTGCAGCGGAGATTTATAAAATAGAAAAAAAGCTTAAACAAGGATTATGGGTGTTAACCCTAATTTTTTTAGTAAATTACACTACAAGTCGTCTAACTCTTTAAATCTCTTACATAAGAACACAAGTTTTAAAACACAAAAATTTGAGATGTTACAATTTGATGTAGTTTTTCTTCGAAAAATCGAAACTATGGTTGCTGTGAAAATAAAAAGATGAAGACCCTTGTATCCCTTAACTTTTTTTCTTTTATTTTGACAAAAGGTTCTAAAAAAAATGAAACAATTATACCTTAAGAAATCTTTGAAATATTCTTCGGTTCTATTCGAAAATGCCAACCTTTTAAAATTTATTCTCTGGATTTTTTTATAAATCCGTTCGAGGTTATATCTGGAAAACCAAAAATAAAATCATTTTTTTTTTTTACATTTTTGCTTGTTTGTCTTCTTATGCTTGTATGGAGTGATTTTGGGGACTCTCGTGGAGGCTTGCTGTGGAGTTCCATTGGTGTTTGCTGGAAGTAGGGATCACCCTGATGGCAATGTGGAAGGCTATTGGTGTTGCCGTAAGGTGTTCATGTAACACCCTTAACACATATACATACTAGTATATGAGTGAAAGATGTCACATTGTTTCTGTAAAATATTCCCTAATTGAGAACAGGTAAATTTTTATTTTTTTAAAATATCTAATCTAACATTTATTATTAAACTATTTAATTACCTAAAATAAAATTAATATATTTAATTTTCAATTAATATATGATAATGATAGTTGTTAGGCAATTCAATACTATTTTAGGTCACAATTAAAAACTGCCTAATTTAAAAATCAATTGATTAGTCTTTATAGCATACTTTAATACTACGTCTATACCTAATCATTTGACAACTTATCATGTTTTTACCTTTCTTATTACATCATTCTCCTATTAATTTACATTTTGGCTCAACTCTTATAACATATTTTATCTCGCTATATATATATATATAGTGTTTGTATCTTCTATAGTTTGAATTATTTAAATCATAGTCTTTATAGTTGTGGTCTACCGTCACACGACCTCCCGCTAACAACAACTATTATTATAGTTTCATACTATGCATATAAATTTTTCATAGGTTAAGTGCATTAGGTTAAGTGCATAGGTTTTGCCCTCAATTTAACCACAATTTAGATTAAACAACTATCATATAACTATAAGAAATATCAATTAATATAAAATTTATCTTATTACGACAGTTTTCACGTTCCTCTTGATAAGATACTATTCAGTCATCAGTTTTACCATCCTCATCTCATGTTACATTTATTAGATCTTCCTTGTTCCAGTTAAACATATCCAAAGAAATCATTATAAATTACAAAATCTACTTTCGTATTCAATCTATTTAACTCATATCTAATAAATCATATATATTTTAGTACAAAAAATCGTATGAAAACATAGTATAAAATCATTTAATTAATTAAATAAGATTTATCCTAATTATTTCATATATAAGTAACTTATAATTCAACTTTTCATCTATAAACCATTTAGTATTAATTTGAACTTTATGTAAAGTTTTACTATCGAACATAATAATTAAACTAATATTGTCCTGTCTCTCTGTATTGTTTCTATTTTCTGTATTGTTCCTTTATTGTACTTATTCTTTTACTATATTATTTTTCTTATTGTACTGTTTCTTTTATTGTATTGATTCTTTTATTATACTATTCATTTATTATACTGTTACTTTTATTTTATTTATATTTTTACTATACAATTTCTTTTTTATATTATTTCTTTTTAGCTCACGTTATAGTTCAATATATTTTAACTGAAAATATCAGGTACGTGAGTCTCGACAAATGTGTGCTATAAACACTCTTCAAGTCCAATGATGCAATCATGGAAACAATGAAATATTATCATCAAAAGATATATAATTTGATAGGGATCATTTTTCTATTTTATAACTTAACGTAAAAACCAAAGGGAAAGAGACTAAAAAGAAGAAAACTT